CATGTGGCCTAAGTGCTGTGGGCTTACACTCACCCTCCCTACTCTACAGATACAGAGACAGATACTACTGGGGTGAATCTTTCTCAATAGGCAATGTTTTTATAGCACAATAGTCTATTTTGAGGTGCATAGCGAATTGTTCAAATAGAGAATCATGCAAGGAAATTTTCAAGGAGTACGGAGTCCTAACTTCAACTTCAGTTCATATTCTTGAACTGTATATGTATGTGTTTAAAAATAAATCAATTTTTACACAAATCTAAAACTTCATCAATATGACACTAGAACCACCTTCCAGATCATTCAAAGACCTTGAATAGTTGCTCTGTGTTCCTCTTTTTTTTTAATTTCTATTTTTTATTGACACTTCCCACACAATTTTATTGTATGACTGGAAATAAATAATAATTATTATTATTATTCATTCTTTCACATGCTACAAAAAACTATTTTGTGAAAAATATATAAAATTGTTTCATGGTAATAATATTCCAAATAATTTATAACAAACTCAAATCTACCTCCAGGATATCCACTTCCGAAATGCTCATGTGTCAGATCCAATCCTTCCTTGAATTTCCAGACCTTCAGTGCATGATCTCTAGCAACTTTGGCACATATACTAGCTGCAGATACGATGGGATACGTTGAATCAGCCTTTTTTGCTACAGTTATATTGTACTCAGGAAACAAGCCCTTCAAATACGCTTGATAATTTTCAGGTTTGCCTAAGGTATCAACAAAAATATGCTCAATCTTGACGCCTCCTTTAATAGCAGCTCGGATTAGGCCCACTGCTGCATCCTTTGATACTTCGTTCAAGGAGTATTTGCTCCTACTCAACATTTTGTTGCTGATGTAGTTTGGAGATATCACATCGATAGCCCAGCCGACAGTTTTGCTGGTTTCGCAGATGTTATTGAAAATTTTGTCTCGCTTTTCTTCAGTTAGAGCCTTGGAATCTGCACATTCTAGAGTTTCGAGGATCATTTGTTCGTTTATGGGACAAAATGCCGTTCCGTACACCATGGGACCTGGAAGATTTACTAAATCATTCCTGACCTTAAATATGATACAGGGGTACTGATAAAACAACCTATAGTTACAAATCAATGTAATCATTAGAGCAGTGACAGATGGTAACAATGATATCTATCTAAAATCTAAATATATCTATATATACTTAAGTAAATCTCTTCATATCAGAAAAATGGTAGGACATCACATTTAGACGGCAGGCACACAATTTTAGGGGAGTCATATGTTATTTATCGTCATGTAGTAAAAAATAAATGTCAGCCTTATTCNATTATTATTAGAATTTATGTTAATTTGTTTGGATGATCTAGCGAAATATCATGCAAATCTATTACCCGTTTTTAGGTAGGTACTCCGATTCAATAATTGTGAGCTAAATCTCGGAAGTAACTATATGAACTATTTTAAATTGTATAGATTGAAGATAATAATTTTGAATTGGATTGTTACCCAATTCGTAAAAAAATAGCTGCGTTTTCATTTTATTCCTCATACATAGATTGATGCGCATATACAGGGTGAAGGACGTGTTCAGGAGCGAATTTTTTAAAAAAAGTTTATAGAAACCTATTTCCGGGGACATCAGGTCCACCCGGCCTCCAACCGGCGTGAATGGGGACAGGAGTTATGTTCATCCACTATAACTCTCCCACATGGACATCCGGTTCACCCGGCCTCCAACCGGCGTGAATGGGATTGCTGTTTTTCTTCAACACTCATAGACTGTTCACAAAAATGTTTAATTTAATGATGGCACGTTCTATGACGGCAGACATTCACAACACAAGCTGAGTTTCGTCCCCAACAATGGCGACCGCTTGCCTTCTTCGTGGACGGTCGCTGTCGGCACGTCCGTCCACCACCACATCAGAAACGAAAACTGTTATTTTTACTCAGGTGTAAAATCGTGTATGTAAAATATGTCAGTCAGAATAATATTAGAGCAATAGACCATGCCTCAAGGTAGCGCTAGCGTCAGGGCGGCTACAAGGGAAACCAAAGAAATGTCAAAAAAATAACTAAAATGAATAGCCTATATTGTGAGAACGATGAATTGTGATCTGGAATGAAAATGAATTGATGAAGAATATACAAACAATAACAAAGTGAAATAATGTACAATGAAATGAAACAACCTGAATAAAAAATGAAAAAATTCAAATAAAATGATAGGAAATAGATTTAAAATCCAATTTAGTTCACAACGTTTCAATCGTCAGTAACGTCTTCGAGTGATAACTGGATTATTTCTGATGGTGGAGACTATTTAGAGGCCACTTGGGCACTTTCACCTTTCCCCATTCTCCCAGCACTCCTCTTGTTTTCCAGTTCGGTGCAACATAGACTGTTTTTCCGCTTGATTAGTAGTTTCAATAGGCACTCTTCCATATTATGGGGGTACATAAAGAGTAATACTGTGTATTTTGTAACTATATAGAGGCGTTTTTCACAAATGATTTTTGTTTTGTTTTGAAAACGGAACAGGATTATTTCCCGAAACAAAAAAAACAGATCGAATATCTTCAAAACACATGTGTTCTGAAAAAAATGCAAAAACACGTCGATTTTTAATCCAAGGGGGACATCTTCCTATCATAACCTCTTCCCCCACCCCTATCGGTGACTATCACCCAAACAATTTGAATAGGGAAAGTAGTAAGTAGCGAACACTCACATGTCTGAATTCCTTATGGAATTGCCTTTTTAATGATGTGTCACACTTAGTTCTTTCCCTAATCAAATTGTATGAGTGAACAAGGGGTGGGGAGAGAAGTTTGGCAGTTGAGGTTACGATAAGATTTGTCCCCCTTGGATGGTTTATGATATTGATTGAATCTATGGATTGAATGATAATATAAATATCAAGTCAAGTGCACAAGATATTTGAAAGACAATCATAAACTCGAACTTTGTAGTATATAAAGCCATCCCCACACACATCAGTAGCGTATTAATTATGAATTATGCTATTTATATAATCCAAATATTTTCATTGAAATATAACTCTACTTCTAACTATATTATTCAAGCTCAAATTTATTATGTAAACTTTTGAAGAAAGATTGAAATCACCAACAAAGCATAGTTATTGACAGTTAAGTAGGTATTTAACAATCACATAGATTATTGGCATTCCACAAAGTAACAGTTAAGGCCCTGAATTTGAACCCTGAACTAATAGTGAATTTATGTGACGAGTTGAAATAGTAAACGTTACTTTTATACCAGGTTTCGATTAAAATAAGTATCAGTATCAAAGTAAATGAAAAGTAAATGAAAACAAAACGGAAAATGAAATTGAATAAAGCAATATTTCAAATAGATAAATATACGACATTATGAACTTTTATACGAAACTACGCTGCGTGTCTATGTGTAATCACTTGTAATAGCACATGAACATTTTCAAGTATGAAAAATCCTTCTAAAAATTACAAAAAAATTCAAAATAAACTTCCAATACATTTATATATGACGCCGCCACTGGAGTGTAGAGTTAGAACTTTTGACTTTTGACCTCGCTTATCAAATTTCGCTAATCACTTATACCTTTTGCTTTACTTCATGATTGTGAACGTTCATTTGTTTCAGTTCTTGGTTCTTGGTTTAATTTGGTAGAAACATGACTGTAGGGGAAGATGATACATTCGTCATACATGGCCCAGAGCCATATGAGCAAATTTCAGATGATACCGTTGGGAAAATTGTGTTCGACAGCCTAATGTCAAATACGGTCAAACATGACGCCATGGTGAGTGGTAAGAGAGATGAAAGGTCAGCAATTTTGTGTTCAATTGAATTGATGGAGGCATTATTATTAGAATTTATGTTAATTTGTTTGGATGATCTAGCGAAATATCATGCAAATCTATACCCGTTTTTAGGTAGGTACTCCGATTCAATAATTGTGAGCTAAATCTCGGAAGTACCTATATGAACTATTTTAAATTGTATAGATTGAAGATAATAATTTTGAATTGGATTGTTACCCAATTCGTAAAAAAATAGCTGCGTTTTCATTTTATTCCTCATACATAGATTGATGCGCATATACAGGGTGAAGGACGTGTTCAGGAGCGAATTTTTTAAAAAAAGTTTATAGAAACCTATTTCCGGAAATGCATTGTTTCCTAGATACGGGGTGTTGCACTTTTTCAAAATTTCTTTTTTGTGTCAATATTGTAAACATTCATTTTCACAATAAATGTTGCTTGACGGCACATTAACTATTTGTATTCGCAAAGCGAGCAACAAAAAAAAAATCTAAGGTTTTATTTTTAGATGTTGTACCAACATAAAACAAAATGTTACAAGAATCTTCAGTGGCGTACATTTTGGTTAATATTGTTGACTTAACTATATGCATATTACACAATAACAAAGATTTTATTTGAAACGTCCTCGCCATTCCGAATCGTTTTCCAAGTAATTCGACCACTCTCGTTGACAATTCTTCAAAGCAGAGCTTCCAAAGATGCTGATTGTGTTGTGTAGATTTTACTTTTTAAATCCTTTTGAAATCAAGGAGTAACAAATCGGGTAATCGTGGAAGCCTCTCTATTCAATGCCATGGAAAATGGTAGTCAAAATACTGAAGAACAATTGGAACAACTACTGTTGATTTAAATGCATTTTCCATGCATAGCATTCACAGTGACTAGATATATATGATATAACCATTACTGAAAGGGTAGAATTTGAACTTTAGATGTGAAATGAAAATCTACGCACAAACAAGTGAAATTAGCGTCTGTAATATAAAACAAAATATTAAATTTGTGGTATGCAGATATGTGAATGAAAAAGTAAATAGAAAAATGTGACCCAATCGGGATTCGAAACCGACTCTCCTATTCTCTAGATAGGGGCATTAGTTATCACAAGAACACTATAAAATACCGAATTCAAGATGTAAACCGGCCATCATTCTGCTCTCCGACGGCGCACTTGATTGATGTGTCTGTCTAAAGAACAGGAGAGCCGGGGTCGAATCTCGTTCGAAGCGACCGTCTTTCTGCTTTGTTATTACGACAGCGTAGTTGCTTGATACGTTCACTTTTCTATTAGTGGAATTAATAATTTTTCTATTGAAAAATAAAGCGGAAAACAAATCACAACTGAGGAAAAATCTTCGACGGTCATATATTCTCACCGAATCTGGAAACAATATTTTGAATACTATTTTTTCTCAGGTCGATGTTTACACCGGGGAAAGGATCACGTATAAATCTATTCTAGAAGAATCGTGCAACTTAGCTGAGGCTTTGCGTGCATTCGGCTGCAGCTCTGACTCTGTTATTTCTGTATGCAGTGAAAATAACTTGCAATTCTTCATACCAGTATTGGCAGCCCAGTTCATCGGAGCAGTTGTAGCCCCTTTAAATCACTATTACATTGAAGATGAACTCAAGCACGCTCTTTGTATTACGAAACCAACAATTGTATTTTGTTCCGAGGAAGTGGCAGATAAATTTGTTGATTTGAAAGATGAATTAACGTTTTTAAAAGTGGTAAGTATCTTTTAGTTAATATTAGGTAAATGTATCTGGCTGAATTCTGACGGATCTGCCATCCGATGATTCAAAGGTTTTCTGATTTGTAAAAAAACAAATTTTGAATTGGCGAGACGAAACCAGATGCCTAAAGTTAACCAATTTCTGATTGGTTGACGTACTCACGTTCACCTGACCAACTGTCGGCATGTTTTTCAATGACGGACTAATTTGAAATACGTTAACACAATCCGATAAATTTACTCACGGAACAATAAAAAAACACAAGATTTTATTGTTTTCCTCATAGATATTATTTTATATAGAATCACTCTGAATATAAATTTGGGTTTAATTTTATATATCCAAGTGTCGCTTACACGAAGCGACTCGTATGGTATTGCATCCCACTTCTACGATAACCCGCTCTATCACCATGACTTCCATAATTCTCTGTAAAATTCGTATCATATAAACATTCATGCTCATCTGAATTGTTGATTTTTGTCCAATGATACAATTACGATTCCGACTTCGGATGACGGAGTCGTAAAATCCAACCTTAGGGTCCGAATTAATATTTTCCCTGAGTTTGACGTTCTGATTTTGAAGCCTAGATGTCGCCCACGCCACAAACTGATTCTTCATATTTTTTCCATGTTAATTATTGGCTTGTTACCATAGAGGAAACAGTCAACGTGTTTGTTGCATCGATGGTTTTTATTACACATATGATAATAAGATTAATTCAAAAATTCAAATATCTTCAGGTTATTATTATTGATTCTTCCGAACCTGTACCTGGAACAGAGTACCTTCCCAACTTTGTTCGCAGACTTTTGTTGGGAAATAAGGTGTCGCCTCACACTTTCAAACCTTTCAATAGTGATGCTGCACAAAAGGTTGCCTTCGTATTGTGTTCCTCCGGTACAACTGGACTACCTAAAGGCGTTATGCTCACTCACAGAAACATGGCTACCAGAGATGCTCAGACAAGGTAAGGCTACAAAAGATTTTTTTAAATACAACTCGATTTGGAAATGTTAACGAAAATTTTTTCCAGGGATCCTCGTTATGCAACAACACTCACCAACGAAGATGTACTTTTAGGATTGATGCCATTCTTTCATGGTTACGGATTAAATATGGGACTTTCGTCCATCATCAAACAAAATAAAATTGTGGTGATGAAAAGATTCGAGGGGGACGTTTTCTTAAAAGCTATACAGGATTATAAAATTTCAATTCTTGCACTGGCACCTCCTCTAGCGATTTTTCTTGCTAAAACACCGGAATTGAATAACTATGATTTATCTTGCGTCAAACAAGCGTTTTGTGGAGCAGCTCCTTTGGATAAAGAGATTGATGCTATTCTTAGAAAAAGGTAAACTTTTGCTTGATTTCGATTTCAGATACTTGAAACTATAATAAAAATTGAGAATTATTCAGGTGTATGTAAACTTATAACGGTGTTTTTTTTCTCTTTGGATTCACTATAATAACTTCAGAGTACATTATTTTGTTGCACCAGAAAACAACAAAATTTTCTTCTTTGCGTTATTACCAACATTCGCCTCATTCAAAGATCTCCAATTATTCAGCTTCAAGTATTACTACCTTTACGAAAATTATAATCAAATAGGGACAGCGTGTTTAAGGTCTTCAAGTTCTAACTTTACAGGCTTAATCGGGAGGTTGAGAAAAATCGAAAATTCTAATACCATTGTTAGTACCATGCAAAAAACTAATGAGAATTATTCCGCAACACTAGAAGAAAAGTTAAATATTGTTGTAAATCATGCCCTAAAGAAAATAACGCCGGCTGCCACTGGTAACCAAAAACCAATTGTGACGTAGCTAAGAGCGCGCGAATGTTCGATGTTCACTGCCGTTCCAGACATGGCGTTGATTGTTGTTCAGTGTTGTCAATTATTGGTCAACCCACGGGGAAAAACATAATAATATTGTGGGACACAATTCTCAACAGTATTCCAACTGGACCCAAGTACCATGGGAATTCATTGTATAATAACCTTAGTGAAAGTTGTTTAAGGTATATTACTGAAAAGGATTGTTACCAACATCAAAATATCATCAGATGTGAAAAATATGTTTTATCATGTCTTGGCCTCGACCAAATTACAAAACAGTCAAAAAATACTCCCTTTTCAATTAGGACAAAGACGACCTGTGATTACCGAATTAACAGTCATGTGCAAAATTACTAGCTAAAAAAAAATCTCACGGGCATGTGCCTCCGCAATGATAATAATTTTTCAAAGCTTCTCCAGATAATGAAAACAGTCTTACTGTTTTACAGATTAGATCAGTCAAAACGAAACAAGGCATAAATTCCACTCGTCTTCCGTATAACATTAATTTTGTGCTCGAATAAAAATAAACCTTAATAAACGAATGAATAATAACCATCTGAATTCACTGTTAAACAATTGATTTTCTGACAAAAATGTAGTTCACTTGTTACCATAGAGGAAACAGTCAACGTGTTTGTTGCATCGATGGTTTTTATTACACATATTATGATAATAATAAGATTAATTCAAAATTCAAATATCTTCAGGTTATTATTATTGATTCTTCCGAGCCTGTACCTGGAACAGAGTACCTTCCCAACTTTGTTCGCAGACTTTTGTTGGAACTCATGTTTTGCAGATTGAACATCAAAGCAGTTCGTCAAGCCTACGGCCTCACCGAATCAAACCTAGCGGTCACTATCATGGAAGATAACGTTACTAACAAGCCAGGTTCCAGCGGAACAGTGATAACCTATATGTCCGTCAAAGTGAGAGACACCGAAACTGGCAAGTCTCTGGGACCGAATAAGGTTGGAGAAATATGTGTAAAGGGTCCTCTGGTGATGAAAGGGTATTTCAACAACGAGCAAGCAACAAGAGAGTCATTCACTCCTGATGGGTGGTTGAGGACCGGAGATTTGGGATATTACGATGATGACAAGTATTTTTATATCGTAGATCGCCTGAAAGAGCTTATAAAATACAAAGGTTATCAGGTGAAGTTGTTTTATTAGTTATTTGGTTATATAACGGAATTTATATTACGTTTAGGTTGCTCCTGCAGAATTGGAAGCGATACTACTAGGTCATCCAAAAGTAATCGATGTTGGAGTTGTTGGGCTTCCCGATGAAATATCCGGAGAACTCCCCATCGCTTTTGTAGTGAAAGATGACGAAGAAAATGTAACCGAACAAGAACTCCAAGATTATGTAGCTAGTAAGTTACAATCTGCTGTTTTTTAACTTCGTATTACCATTTCATGAACTGACTAACACACAAACTGAATTGAAAATAATTTTCAGGTAAAGTGTCGCCCCAGAAAAGACTAAGAGGAGGTGTAATATTCGTTTCTTCCATACCTAAGAATCCCAGTGGGAAGATATTAAGAAGAGAATTGAGAGCTTCCCTGAACGATCATAGAGCCAAACTTGAATCTAAACTATAAGGGTTCATAGTCGAAAGTAAATGAATCAAAAACTCTTAGAAATCGTATTATTTATTTTTGAGATAACTAAAAATAGAACTCCGGCAAAATATTCCTTCAGATATTTCTGTTTTAGATGAGTTGGAGGGAGTCTTTGGCATTTGTCTACCGGTTTTGGTCAACTGAAGAATTCCAAATATATTTTGAGATCAATGGTTACAGAATAAATTTAGTTTTGCAAAAAACGTCAATGATTGATTCCTGTTTTTTTTTTCGAGTTCAGTAGGGATACTAATTTTTTCTGTTGCTTTCAAACCCAGAATTTTAATATATATACTTTGGGTGCTCTTATCGATTGAAATTTTAGAAAATATCGTGAAGACCATGTTTAGTGATTTATAGAGACAAAGATCCTCTCAGAATCATTCAAAAAGAGAGTTGAAAACTGATACTTTCACCAAATCTTTCAGCGACAAGTTATAGTGGAAGTTTTCCTTGTATGTGAAATTTCATATTGATTCATATTAAATATTTTTTTTCGAAATGTTTCAAATATGTGTGTTCTAATTCTATAACGAATATTCGAAATTTAAACTGGTAAATTGATTTTCTTGTAATTTAATGTTCATAATTAGAATATTAGTTACTTTGATTAGATTTTTCGCCCACTTTGTAGCCAAACGTGACTTCTGAATATGGTCCTATTTTTACAAAACCATTTGTTCCTTTGGCAATATATTGATTGAGTATTTTCAAGTTCATTTGAAATCACTTATATTAAAATTGAGGAAATGTGATAATCAAAACAATCTTCACCAATTCACAAAAACAATAAATATAATAGCCATGAAAATAAGCAATCAATCATGAATAGCAAGATAAACAATGTATTTCTCTAGTTCACAACATCGACACCAGGTGAAATATCGCCTATTTTCAATTCCTTATAAGGCGACATCTTATAAATAATGTTTTAGGCTAATGACCGTCGCGGCTCAGGCCATCCATGAAGTAGAAGAAGAATAACCTTGACAACATTGGAAGAAATCATCCACTCTCTAATCATCGTCAAGCAGACTATAGAGAGTTTCAAGCATTATTGAAACATAATATTTGGATAGACTGGACCAATCAATATAGCGGGAATGGACAATTCAATGCCAAACTTTACTTTTCCTCCGTACCACAACCTTAGAAAACTCCATGGTTCAATGATCTGGCTACTTGTTCTCGTAAAGAAATCGTCAATATGTGTAGAATTAGGAGCACTCACTCCCTCAATAAAGCACATCTCCACAAAATTAAGAAAGTTGATGATGACCGCTGCGAATGTGGGGAAATACAGACTCTCCTACATATATTCTTTGCCTGCCCTAATAATTCTCATAATATACAAATACTTCATGCCTCTCTCAGCATCCCTCCTTCAACAATTCAGCCTCTTACCTTCCACGATATCTTTTTCAAACATAAATCACTATCTAACACACAGACCATATCCAAATTCCTGAGTGCATTCAATATAAAGCTGTAGTAATCAAGACAGATCTAATACTTGTGCGCATGCAGTGCTTCGCCAATCATGACCTGATCGTAGTGTCCATACACGTAACCGTAGTGCACCACCTCACATTAGTCCTTACACTCTAGTGCAGTCGGACATTGCTTGTTAACTGACTTCAACTTACAGTCGAACTTTGGTTTAGCGCAAACTCGGGTGGGGTTTGGGTCCAACTCAGATCCACCTGTAGTACCAACATGATCCTGGAACTCCTGGCTGGATAGCCCTGGCAGCTGAAGCCATTAATGGAAAAAGAAGAATAACGTAACCACGATTATCTGTGACGTGACATGGTAACTGTCAGAAAATTCAAAATTTGGAAAGTGGCTTATTTTTTTTCTTTTGATGTAAATTAATAACAAAATTGCCATGAATTCTCCGACGCATCCTTTTCACGAGCCAACTGTTTTCTCAACTTTACCTGCCCATTTTCCGAACGCCAGCGAGAAAATAAAAACCAAAGAATTCTTGGAAGCCTCCTCAGCTGCAGTCACTGTGATAGAGCGATTTGGAAAAGTATTCGCTCCAGTAATCAACGATATGAACGGAAATGTACAGAAACTCCTAAGTAGATATGAGAAAGATATAGAAGGCAATGAATACTTGGAAGATATGATTGTCAGGGAGCAGACAGAGGGCGAAAACGTTGCCACAGATGCACTTATGTGGTTGAGGAGGTAAAGATAAAGCTCTGGTGATAGTATAAAACGTGCACTAGATAGAAACTGAAGAGCTTGGGATTCTTGAAACAGGATCATTGTGATCAACTAGTTGTCTAGGCCATGCCCTCTTGTATTTCTATAGTATTGCTAGTAGTACCCATAAAGAATAATGAAAATCCAAAATTTCAGATTTTAAAAGCATTCAACTTGTTTTCAAAGAAAAAAAAATGAAAAAAAAATCATGATTTGTACTTATATGAGTTTTGTTCTTTTAAAATTCATTTTCCGAGCACTAATTCAATGAAAGTTTAAACAGGTGTCAGCTCCTGCGGCTTTTGAAGGTCTGTAATTTGATATACGTGACAGTATTGATCCAATTTTTTTCCAAAATTAAAAAAAGTTATTTTGAAATACCTATCTCAAAAAAGACAAATGATTCAAAAAAAAGCTGTTAGCTTGCTATTAGGTTAGTTGTATGCCAAGTTTGATCACGGGCAGCAATTGGATCTTTTTGAAAAAATTGCATAGTATAATAGAACATGCTGTTTTTTCTCTACATCCTAAAGAAATAGCAAACTCATTTCATTTAATCGAAGCTGAGTAATGTATTGATTTTTATAGGCAGTATCGTTTTATAAAATGTTGTGCATCTACCACAAATGACAAGAGTATTATTTTACACGATTTTTGAAAAGCCCCTCTGTTTCAAAGGGGTGTCTTAAAAGAATTTGCAGTCAATGAAAATATTGGATTCTTGAATTCTAGGTATAGGTAATCATTTTCAACAAATATAGATAGGTAAACTTCATGTGTAATTGTTGATACATGTTATTATTGCCAAAAATTTTCTTCGCCCTATGTCTTAAAAAAATTCATTTCAGGGCACTTCACTTCTTGTCCCTTTTTTACCAGTATTTAATAGAAGACTCTAGAAATGATCAGGCCTCCAGTGATTTAGCTCCGCTTTTGAAAAAGGCCTATTCCGAAACATTGAAGCCCTTTCATGGCTGGCTAGGTAGTCAACTTTTCAACGTTCTCTCGAGGTTTGCCCCCCGCAGAAAAAATCTCATCTTCAGCTTAGGATTAGAGAAACCCAACAGGGACCAAGACGTTATGAGAGACCTGGAGACTTATAACAGCAAAATGATGACTTGTATTCGAAGACTGACAGATTTTTACACAGAGTATGCCTTGGAGAGTTATGGTACTGTCTGATTGTTTCATAGAGACTGTTATTTTAGATGATGATTCTAATATGGCTATCTCGGAAATAATAAGACTCAAAAGGTATGTAATGTTAGACGAAAGAGGACTATTTGTGGAGATATTAAAAAAATACATGTGTTGTGGTATATGGCTGGATTTAGTATGATTACAAATGATGAAACTAGATGTCCGTATTGACAAAATTTATGATGGAAAACAATAAATCAAACAACACACTGAATTGGATTGGGTAGTCAAACGAATTCCAGCAAATTTAGTTTGTTGTGAATAACTCAAAAACGGCCATTGTTAGTCTCGATCTGTAATTGCGAATAGACAATGTTTATCTAGTTCAAGCAACCTTGCAACTCTAATCAGTTCTGAGATACCAACAATGGGATCAGTTAAAACTAACGCTCTGCATATTGTTAGCTGTTGATTGACAAAATATTGGTATCATTGTAAAATATTTGCTGGTCGACAGATTTTAAGATGTGTTAGAGAGTTGTTACTATTTCAAATGTTGAGGATAGATAGTTTTTATATATATTGTTACATGCTGTTTGACAAAATATTTGTTAATCATTACATATTTATAATGTTTGGTTATATTATTATTGTAAATTGTTCGTTTGAGAAATATCAAAATTCATCCATGACTATTAGATGCTGGATAAGCCCAAAAGATGAAAATATATTTTTATGTTGCTGCAGTTTATGAATTGAAAATGACATTTTGAAAATATGTTACAATTAATTGTGTTCCTGAAAGTAATCTAAAATATAACAATAATTATGACATGACAACTCAGAGACACTAAATTTGAAATTTTGGTTTTCGTAAACCAATTGTAGGGTTATTTTTAAGTTTTTCTTAGTTCACCTCATGGCGATTTTTTTGTAGAAATTGTATTTTCTTGTACCGAGAACAAAATCAAATTCGACCACTCTCGTTGACAATTCTTCAAAGCAGAGCTTCCAAAGATGCTGATTGTGTTGTGTAGATTTTACTTTTTAAATCCTTTTGAAATCAAGGAGTAACAAATCGGGTAATCGTGGAAGCCTCTCTATTCAATGCCATGGAAAATGGTAGTCAAAATACTGAAGAACAATTGGAACAACTACTGTTGATTTAAATGCATTTTCCATGCATAGCATTCACAGTGACTAGATATATATGATATAACCATTACTGAAAGGGTAGAATTTGAACTTTAGATGTGAAATGAAAATCTACGCACACAAAACAATGATACTTCCCTCGGTCCGCTTTCCACCAACTAAATTGGCGTGATGAAGAAGTGAATGATGTCGAATTCCGTACCTACCTTTCAAAATTGTTTGTACACTCTGACAGATATCAGACAACTCAAAGGACGAGATGATCAAATCTGAATGGAAATTTATGAAATATACGATAAGTCGCAGAAAGAACTATGAGAAAAATTATGTTGGGCATACGAAACAATCTACTGAAACTAATTTCAAAGAACGCGAGGCATATATCCAATTTCGAGGACCAGAAGAGTCTAGTGTTGCTACACACGTCTTAGAAGAACGGCAGTAGTATACAAGAATAATGCTTTTGAATTGTTGAGATCTACATGTCCCTATTGACTCCTAGATGCTTTCGAAAGTTTAGATATGGCAAACTATGTGGTATCAAAACTATGAACAGCGATGAAAGTGCCTTTTCAACTGGCCCTTATCACTCTTTCAAAAAAGCATGCGTATCTTCGTTTTTTGAATTAATGAAATCGAAACTGTTTTCAAATACAAGTGAAATTAGCGTCTGTAATATAAAACAAAATATTAAATTTGTGGTATGCAGATATGTGAATGAAAAAGTAAATAGAAAAATGTGACCCAACCGGGATTCGAAACCGACTCTCCTATTCTCTAGATAGGGGCATTAGTTATCACAAGAACACTATAATTATGATGGAAAACAATAAATAAAAGAACACATTGAAATGGATGCGGTAGTCAACAAACGAACAAAATGTTAGTATCATTGTAAAATATTTGTTGTTCGACTGATTTTAAGATGTTTCGCGTTGGATACGCCGCTTCTTGTCCTATATATTGGTTCCTATCGGCCTGGTAGATGGTCTCTAGGCTTATGCTAGCATTTTTGTTCTTTTGATGTTCGGGGCATCCTTGACAGTTCCCTTACAAATAAAAATCGTACTTTCATTACTTCCCTGACCTCGTAGATGTGGTTCTGTTGTTTCGTAAGGAGAAGCAATACGAGGGGAGGTGGCTTATTTAGTTTTTTAAGCTGAGGAACTGATATGGTATCAAAGCACTTGGCTTATAGGTCATCTATTGCTTTCGTTTCGAGAAAAAAATCTGTTTTTTGACATTTCTGATGTTTCATACAGGTTCATTCTTGTGAATGTTTTCAGTGATGGTCTTTCTATTTCAGCTGAGCCAAGTTATTTGACTTTCAAAAATAATAAAGAGGCAGTCTAACTTTTAGGTTTTTATTCAACATTGAAAGTTGAAATTTGCCAAATTCTCAAATGACTGATAACTTACATTATCCCCCTCCATTCTGAGCTTAGCCTTTCCTTTTCCCTTACTCTTTTTTGCCTTATCACCTTTTTCGACTTTCTGTTTTTCTAAATATAAGTTGTCTAACGAATTTTTTATTTTTCTAATATCAAGCGATGTCACTAGAAAAATATGAATGATAAATTTCTGCCTGATGAGTTTGAGAATGGCAGAACAGCCCTGAGGCATCCCACCTGAAATAGATACTTACTTGTGGCACAAAGGTTCCTAGATAAGTTCTCAACAAAATTGGGATATTCTATGCTGCTGGACAGAGATGTAAGCTTCTTGGAGAGGGTTTCTGTGAAAGTATCGAATTCTTCTTTTGAATTTGGCAAATCAAGATCACCTATTTTAGAATTTTTCACATTTCCTTCGGCAAAAGTTGTTGCTAATGCCAGATTCAAGTCTGCCTCCTTTTGACGACGCAGTTTTTCTTCTGGTGACATTTCATCTTCCTCTTCTTGAAGGCGTTTCGCCATTTCCTCTCTTTTCAATCTCTAATAAAGAATATGGTTTTTTTATGGTTATATAAATACAAAAATTGACAAAGTTTACTAGTTGAGTAGTTGAAAATCTCACCTCCTTTTCAGCGATTCTCTCAGCCAACGGCTTCTTTTTAGGTTTTGGTTGGACCTCTGTTGTGGGTTTTTCTTCCTTCTCCTCCTCCTCTTCATCCTCCCAACTTTCCTGAAATAAATAAGTTTGCTACAATAAGTTGTAACCATATGGAATTTTTCATTATTAATTTTAGGAAAAAAGATTCTTCATGAAAAGTTCTGCAAAAACCAAAATCTAAAAGCAACCATCAGTTATCAATTTCTTTTAGCCATATACGAGGTTTGTCAAAAAATGAGTTGAAGTACCCTTATTTTCGAATAGATAGATTAGTAGATATTAGTTATATTATTCATTCACATAATTGCTCAAGGCTTGTGAAAGGAGAAAAAAGACTGAGGTGTGAGTTTTATTGTGAAGAGGAAAAATATACTACAAAAACATACTTCAATATTGTAGAACAGATGATGCTGCAATGATTTTTTCAGATCATATTTGAATTTGGTCAATGAAAGCTGTTTCATTCTGTTCTGTTCATATTATGAATTTTAAATATTCATTAAAATTATGAAGAACCTTTCAATTGACTTATTGATAAATCCATAAAAATATAGAATTCAATGAATATATACTTCAAATTGTAAACATTTGTTATTTTGGTGGTACTGTTGATTTCACAGATATTTTTAAGTTTGATAAAACATGAACCATAACATATTTCACTTGATAGTGGTGGACGAAAATAAAGCATATATTTTCGATTTAAATAGATTACTAAGTAGCTTGATCAAAACTTGGCACCAAGAAATACACTTGAATTATGGTTTTTCTCCACATTAATTCATATATTTTCTGAGAGTTTTGTGTTGGCTACAGTTGAGGTTAGATCATCATCTTGACAGAAAGTTTCTAGAAACAGCTAATGTGTGAAGGTAAAAGTGCAATGCAAACAACTTGAGCGTTTTTGAATCCAGTTACACCTATTTTTTATCTTACCCTTACCTTAACCTCGTCTTCTTCATCCTCGCCATCCCATTTATTAGCCACCACCTGGGACAGGCTAGGAGTTGAAGGCTCGAAATTTTCGTCGTCTACAAAGAAGAAAACTAATTAAGTCGCAAATTTTCTTGGAAAAAGTATTCTTAACTTACCCCACGATTCCATATTGTTGAACTTCTAATAAGGACCTACCACGACCTCAATCACAGATCACAACTCTAGTTGTTGGTTGTTGTGACCTGTGTTCTCAATTATATTACTTCACGTAGGTATGCTAACGACAATGCTGCCAACAGATGACTAGAATACGATCCATCTATTCGGCTGGAAGAGATCGAACGACGGGAAGCCTCTGGTGATTTAGGTACGCTTTTGAAAAAAGCCTATTCCGAAACATTGAAACCCTTCCACGGCTGGCTAGGCAGTCAAATCTTCAACGTTCTCTTCAGGTTTGCCCCCTGCAGGAAAAATCTCATCTTCACCTTAGGATTTGAAAAACCCAACGGGGATCAAGACGTGATAAGAGACCTGGAGACTTATAACAGCAGAGTGGTGACCTGTATTCGAAGACTGACAGATTTTCACACAGAGTATGCCTTGTGTTTCTATTCGGAAAGTCATCATTAGAGTCACATTAGATGTCTCAAAAAGGAAGAGACCAATATTCTTTGTATCCAGAAATCAAAGAAATACATTAACTCCAAATATATCTTTGAATTTTGATGTCTTCAAGTTTTTGTAAAATAATACAAGTGTTGTTTAAAAACCATGTAACAAGACACATGTATTATCCGACATTTCTGTACTAGAAATTCGTTCACTGAAAAATGTCTTTCAATTAGAGTTAACTTTTATATATTGCAGTCACATTGCAAAAATCCATATTGAAAATTGTAACATACTTATTGAACAAAAAAAAATTACCTAGAACTACATATGATATTTTTATTTGCCCTAAATATCAGAAATAAGCATTCATTTTTCACAAAAATTGGTTTTTAAACAGTACTTATATGCTGTAACAATAACTCAAGAAATTAATTCACTTCTACCGGCAAATTTCAAAGATATATTTGGAGTTAATATTCGTATGTCTTCGAATTTCAGATGTGAAGAATATTGGTCTGTTGTTTTAGAAATTTCCGACACTTAATTATATGACCATGGCTGAAATTGTTTTGATGTTGGCTACTACAATTGATGAAACTAGATGTCCTTATTGAAAAAAAATATGATGGAAAACAAATGAAACAGCACATTGAAATGGATGCGGTAGTCAACAAACGAATTCCGGCAAATTTTGTTTTTTGTGAATAACTCAAAAACGGCCATCGTTAGTCTCGATCTGTCGCGAATAGGCAACGTTTGTCTAGTTCAACCAACCTTGCAACTCCGATCATTTCAGAGATAGCATCTGCTGATTGGTATGAATGTAAAATATTTTGCTGGTCGACAGTTTTTAAGATGTGTTGGAGAGTTGTTACTATTTAAAATGTTGAGGGAAGATATTTTTTATTTATTGCTGTAAATCAGGCTTGAAAGAAAATAACGTCGGCCGCCACTGGTAGCCATAAATCAAACGTGACGTAGCTGGGAGCGCGCGAATGTACGATGATTCCCCGCCACTCTAGAAGCAGCGAGAATAATGCTACCGATTTCAACGGAACCTCGCCGGAATTTCTACGGCATTCGATTACGATATTTAAAGGCTAGCCACGAGGATTTCGACACAGTCAAGTGGAAGCTACAGTGCGGTACGCTGAGTGATGCAATAAGGCGATAGACATTCAAATAATATAGTTGAAGTGAAATGAAGTTAAGTTTGATTATTCAGTGTAGTCAATTATTGGTGAACCCA